CAGGCTGAGAAGCTGGACTGCACAGAACGCTTGCAGCTGCAAAGGAGACTGGGTTGTCGGACGTTCCACTGGTTTCTGGCCAACATCTACCCTAAGCTGTACCCATCGGAACTCAGGCCCAGGTTCTTTGGAAAGGCAAGGCCTGACCCAGGGAAGATGAGGAGGAAAAGGAGGGGTGGGCGGCTTCTGAAGTCAGGAACTGAGGTTCTGATGGTCTTCCACGACGTAGGCCAACCAATGCCAAGCTCAGCTGGGCCCTGGAGGCTTCCATGCCTGCCCTGAGGAAGGTGACTGGGCTGCCCCGTAACCCGTCCCAGAGCCCCTCACCAGGACAGGTGCCGCCTGTCGCTTCAGGAGGCCTGTCCCTTAGGACCAGTGGCTTCCGCTTGACCTCGCTCGTTTTTGTGGTCTGAACATAGCACCTTGAGCTACACTCGAGTGTGAAGGAGAAGCATGGCACCTGACATAGGGTGTCTTTACATCGAGGGCGGGATTCACTTCTGTATGAATGTCACTTTCAGCTTCACAACACCGGACTTGGCTTCTGTGCAGACTGCCAGGCAGAAGGGGACATCTTGGGCTGTACCATGATGCTGGCTCCTTGCAGTGATGGCCGGCAGCAACAGGTGGGTGGTCAGAGTTCTCAGAATAATGGCCAGGGCAGACCTGCAAGTGGTTTTTCCGTGACTGTTCCTCACTTCTTTTGGGGGCTTCTACTTTTAGTGGTCCCACATCCTTGATGGCCTACAGTTCCCCACTGTGATGACCCGTTCCAGCCCTGCGCACCCTGCCCCTAGCTGCAAGCACAGACATAGACCATCATCAGAATATGAACATCTGAGCTCAAGGGAAATGGAGAGGCTGTTTAGTCAATGCTTTCATCTGACAGATGAGGAAACTGAGGCTTAGAGAGTGGCCATCCCAAGGGCAGCAAACTCAGAAGTCTTCAGCCTTTAGGAAGATAAAGGAAATGAGCAGCTTTAGCTCATTTAGACCAAGGAGCACATCGCCCATCTGCAAGGACAGCTGCACCCACCCCAGCCTCAATAAATGATTTTTGTTTCATAGGAAAGTGGACCTAGTATTATGAGATCATCCAAAATTTTAAAAGACACTCAAAATCCAGAATTTATGTAAAAGCTCCCTATTAAAATTAAAAACTATAACCAGAGGTCAAAGAAAATCTGTATGCAGGCAAATTTCCACCAGGGCACCATTTATGAAATATTAGGACCAGCCGGAGATCATTAGCCAACTGGAAAAGGGGTCACCCAAGTGGGGAATGTAGGCTCAGAAGCACTGAGGAAGTGAGGGAACCCAGAGAAAATTCCTCATTCGCACGGGTCCCTCAAACCCAAGACTCATGACTCATATTTTTAAGTCTCAAGTCCTTGGATGCTGAGGCCTGAGGGGAGTAGATGTCTTGTGTCTTTCAGGTATTTTATGGGGATCTATGAGAGCAGACACTTTATCTCAGAAGAGGACCTTTATTCCACTATAGGAGCCTGTGTGTGTGTGTGTGTGTGTGTGTGTGTGTGTGTGTGTGTGTGTGTCTGAGATGGGGAGGGAGGGCTGGGTTTGGAGCAGACAGGCCTCATGGCCTCAGCTACCAGCTGCCCCACTTGCCAGAGGAGGGTTTACACACAGATGGAGTCTTTGGCTCCAGGTTTCAGAGCTCTGGCCTCATTCAGAGAGCAATTTGGTTTGTGAAATTCCTTCCACAGGGAAAAGGCTTCTACTCCACAGTTAGGAGGAAGTAGAGAGTACAAACGCCCTTGGGGAGAGGATGGGAGCAGCACATAAGCTCTCTTGGGAGGCCAGGGCTGGTGGGAGCCTCTCCCCAGAATAGAGGCTCTGATGACTTGTTTGAGGAAGGACCAAGACCAACTCCACAGATTTCCCCGAGGCCCCATTCTGCAGTGTAGCTGGAGCTCTCAGTACCCAAGAAGGATGGGGCTGCTTTGGTGACAACAAAAACTTATGGGCCAAAGGGTAGCCAGAGAGAAATGCTGCACAGGACTGGCAGGCACGCTGCCCAGTGGGAGAAGCCCCTCCTTGAACCAATGGTCCTGCTCATGGTATACATAGCCCAGACTATTTGAAATCAACACTGAGGAATCTAGGTGGTTCCTCGTTAAAATCTAGGCTTAGGAAGGGAAGGTCAATCTTGTGACCTGTCCATTTCCTGGTCATGGTTCTTAACCTTTTTAGGTTATACCTTGTGGTTGCCCAAGGGGGGACAGGATCAACCCCTGATCCAAAATTTTGTTCAGATATCGATACTGATGATTCCACACATACAACAAGAGGGCATGACAAGTCTCATTGTTATTCATATAGTGAGACTTTCTGGGGGAGAGCAGGGCAGGGTCCCAAGCAGGTCTGCAACTGGCTTGAGTTAGCAAGAAGGAGTGACTGGCTCTGGCTCTTGTGTGGTTAGGGGATGGGCCAGGATGATGGTTCCTAGGCTCAAGACAGGGCTAACCTGGTTCTAACTTCCCACCGACAGCAAAGAAGGAAGCACCAGGCTTTCTTATGAGCTCATCCAGAACTAGGACAGAGAAGGAGAGGGGTGGGGCTTGGAAACTCAGAGGTCAGACATTAGACATGTTTGTTGCAGGTTAGACATTTCTTTTAAGAAGTTAATGAACTCTAAGGACCCTTTCCCAAGAAAAATGGATGTAAGCGCATCCGCACACATTTTAACAATTTTAAGGGTTCAGCGAGTCCCTCTAGGGTCCGTGGGCTCTAGAATTGCTGGCTTAGAATTCCCTAGGGTGAAAGGAAAGAATCAAAGGTAGAACTATATCTCTTCATGCAGCCCCTTAGCTGTTGTAGACTTTATCTCGAGCATCTGAGGAGAGAGGAAGGCAGTTGAGTCAGGGGAAGGATCTAAATGCAGCAGGGTTATTCCAGCATCTATGTAGGCCCCGTTGGCCAGCAGGACGATCTCCTTACATCTTAGGATATATTTTTCTTCTTTTCAAAATTTCCATCACAGAAGAACTGTCCAAGGTGGTGGGCAGCTTCCATGATGCTGGCTGAAAGTTGGTGGATCCACTTTTTTTTACAACTTGGATGATAACCTGGAAAGTCTAGCCTGCCCCCAAATCTCTCTCCTTTCAGCCTGCTATAGGAACCTTTGAGTTATGCTATCATATCCCAAAAGCTTCTATTAAAAACAAACAACAAGGTACACATTGCTGGAGATATTGATCAAAAGAGCCAAGTGAAGCCCTGAAAGCCTGGGAGTCAAAGCCGGAACATCTCTTGGAAGGTCCAGAGCTGAGCTTTGCACGGAGGACCGTCTGAGGCTGGAGCTGGCAGAGCAGGCCCTGGGGTCCTGGGGGAAGGCGAT